ATTTTTTTGTTGCTCAAAATTTTTCTGATTTTGATAGCTGGTGATTGTCAAGTTTCTTCTCAAGAATTAAAAAGGAACTATCAAAGGTGCAACGAATTTTGGAACTAAATTAAATTTTAGATGAAAATAAGGAAAGAAAAAAGGTTATTATGCATTTTATTTCATTTAAGAAGTATTGCGCATATGCTGCCAAATGAAGTAATTAGGGATACCCTATCGTTCTTTGCCCCAATATGTCTATATGTATCTTTTTTTCAGCTGTCGTTCTGAATTCACTTCTTGGAAGAAAAGGTGCCCTACATCAGTTGACTGACTACTGGGATGTTGCAACATATTTTGAGGTTAATAAGTTCAAGTTTTACTCGATCATACTATATTTTTTTTCAATGAAAATTTATAGCTAGAAAGAATCTATTATTACGCGCAGATTTTCTTTTTTTTTTGGTGAATTTACAATTTTTGACTCTTGTAAACCTCTCATAATGCGAATAAAACTCTTGAATATTGATTTTTAGGTATCCGTACTCGCCGAGAACTATCAGAAGGCTTGCGAAGCGGCGTTGAAAATGGCGATGCTAAAACCACCAGTTTGGTAAGAACTGATCGATTAATATAGTTTGCTTAAGTAGCATTATTCTAGATAAATCTCTCTGATCTCCATAATTATACTTGAAAAGTATGATTTGTTTTCTTTGAAAAATTTAGGAGGGCTTTAAATACAAGCGAAATCTGCGCAGTTATGAGTATCCTTTCCATTTTGATGACCCATTTTCAGGTTCCTGAAATCCACCATGGAGAACATCAAGCTTATCAATCGTTGTGCAGCTACTATTAGTCCGATCGAAAAGGTCTGATAATTCAGTTCTGCGATTTTTTCTTTGAATCTTTCTGCCACTGCTTCACTGATCGGTTCTTCCAGGAAAAGCAGCAATTTTTGTTCTGGTCGGAATTCTTCATGGAAGCGATCGATTCTGAAACAGAAGTAACTTGTGCGAGATTCCCAGTTTTGATTCAAGAACTCACCAAGGTAAGCCCAACATAAGGAAACTGTTCTCGGAATAATGGCACATTGACGAAACGATTTTTGAAAATTGTAAAATATCTGACCATCACTTATTTCGTTGAAATTTTGAAACTTTTTGCGGTTTTTTGTCCTCTTTTCGCTTCTGTCGTTCGCTTTCGCCTATCTTTGACTCAGGCCGTTGCTCACACTAGCTTGCTCATAAAAGTTTCCAAAAATTACCAAAAATTCAGAAATTAAACATTATCTGCGATTGTATGAGCTAGAGAACGATAATTAGTTCATTCTATCTCCTCAACTATCAAAAATAAGATTTTCGATTTTTTTTTTTGTTTGATTAGGATAGATTTGATTTAGCAATTCACACCTTCCTATCTCACCTTAAATGTCACCGAACGATCGATGATCCTTAGCCATGTGTTGGAAAATAGTCAACAAAAGAAACCACCACCTGGTAAGTATGCCTTACCTCCGAATAACATAGGAAATCTGTATTTTCACTAATCGATATATCGACTTCCCCAAGAATCTCGATCCGGTTTTCTTATACAGTTTTAGGTATTCATCGTTGGCACTTCACCGCAGGGAATATCAAAGCTGTATCAGCATCAAAACGTGATGATCGCTCGATGTTCCTATATGTGCATGAGAACTCGGACGATTTCAACCTGGTTTTTCCATCGGCAGCCCATTGTAACAAGTTTGTGACAGTTGTCCTTACAAAAAGACGATTAGAATACCTGTTGGCAGCTCTTTAATATTATAAGCTAAAACGTTTCAAGTATGACGTATGGAACATTTTAAAAAAACAACTAGCACAATTTCAGAGTAATCAATACTTTAATGGAGATGACCGAAGCAGATGGCAATCAAGGCAAAGTTCTTTCTAACTTAGATGGTGAAAAAATGCATGTGAGTTTTGCATTGGAAATTTAATGAACTTGTTGATGGGCGAGTTTTCCAGTTCGAGTACGAGTCAACCTCGAGTGGTGATCGTGTTGTGCTTG